CATTTACCTGCATTGACTTAAAAATCTTGACCTCTATGCTCTTGGTAAGGCCACAATTTCTCCCAAAAGTCTATATAGCATGTTAAGAGGCAAAACACTCTTAAGTACATGTGTTGTCCCATAGAGCTTGAGGGTGACTGTTGCCCTAACATTGCATGGATAGGGTCATAGTAGGTAACTGTGCACAGTTTACTGCTACGTGGGACAAAAGACCTGAAATCAAATGGTTAATTTGTTCTTCTCATGGAAAATATTCTGAATGGCAAAACAATCTTTGCCACCTGATAAGAGCTAAAGCATTCTTGGCTAGCAAATATTTCAGTACAAAATGCTAAGATACAATTGTTTGCGATATGTTTTGGAGCTAAATTAGACCATGAGACTGCACAGAAGCCATTTATCAGAAGTGCTTAACGTTCTGAGGATACACTTCTTTAGAAAGGCTGGAACAAACTTTTCAATCAAGTTATTATGTAAATGCTCGTGCTAGAAAGAGGAATTTGAGCTTTATATTTCTAAGAAGCATGCCAAATACGGAAATACTCTTTAACTGTCATTCTGAAAGCACTAAATATTTCATCTACCTAGAGCAATAAATCAAATAGTTTGCCTGAAATCTTAGTATAAAAAGGCTTTAGCTCTAAAGAATATCTCTTTCTAGTAGTAGTGGGTTATCTCTTACCAGTGGTGGTGAGGTTTTTTTATGTGTGTTACCCTTTAAAAGTGGGTGAGTGAACAGAATTAGATCCAGATGAGTATTTGGAAACTTATTAAAAAGGAATTCCAAAGATTTTCTTAAGATTAAAAAAATCTGATTACAGTGAAGAACACTTTGTTTTTCTTTTTGATTTAATGTGTTTATTGCAAGCTATGTAAACATATACTCACAGGTTAGAAAAAGGTTGGTTTTCTTTTTTTTTTTTTTTAATGTGTATGTTTAAAGCAAAAAGCTTTGGGTTAATTTTTAATGTTGCTCATAGCTATTTTTTCTTGTCATATGTACTTTCTCTTCTTTCTATTAAACCAAGAGGTGAATATTATTCTAACTGTATCAACTCTTCGGCACAGATAAAGAGGAACTTTTTGTACCTACTCCCAGCTATTTTGAGATTGTCTACCTGAACCCAGATAAACCTGCAGTCATCCCATGCCGTGTTACTAGTCCTTCAGCAAAAGTAACTCTACACAGGGAATTTCCAGCAGGAGAAATTGAAACAGATGGAACTGATATTATTTATGATGTGAAGAAGGGTTTTGTCTACCAGCACCCTACTTCTGATCATAAAGGTATTGTCTACTGCAAAGCAGAGTCACAGGGAGCACCTCAGATTTCCATCAAGTATCACCTACTGTATGTGGAAGGTAAGGTGCAGTTTTCTATATGGTTATACTGACTCTTTGTTTCTTCTGCTGACATTGTTTAGAAAACACTTTAATAAAAAAGTAAAATAAGTAATGTCATTGCAGAGTTTTAAAATCTCGATGAAAAGTATATGTGATAAAACCTTGTAGGTTTAAATTCCAGCAATTTCCCAGTGTAGAGGGGAAAGTTGCAGGTGTACATCACTTACCTGTTGCATTGAGCAAACTGAGGCAAAAATTGACTCTTAAGTTTTATCAGTGTATTTAACTTCAGAAACTAATTTTCTGCTTCCAAACACTGTCTTTCTATCAGTTCCCAAGGGCCCGCCCTCAACCACAATTGCGGCGTCATCCAATAGAGCAGAAGTCAGTGACAGCGTTCATGTAATCTGCACAGTCCTTGGGGAGCCAGATGTAGATGTGAACTTCAGGTGGCAGTACCCAGGGCAGGAGGTAAGAAAGAGATGTATGCCCTGGCTGAAAGGGTTTGTTCTTCATAAACGCAGTGCTTTGACTGCCAGTCTCTAGATGTGGAGTAACGATTCTTTCAGATTGTGGTGTCTGCCTCTTGCTAGCTCAGGCATGCTGGCAGGAGGAGGCAGCACATCCCTTTTGAACTTCAGCCCATCTTTCCCTGAGAGCCCAGAAGTAGCACAGGAATGAAGCTGAAGAGCTCTACCCATGTTAGCAAAAATCAGGCTCAGCAAAGCTCACTCCTCCCTCAGGTTTCCCTTGCAGAGACACTTGGTCTCTGGCAGCGTTTACAAAGAAAAGCCTCAGACAAGGTCAAAGCCAGCCAGCATCAGGAAGCTTTTCTAGGGCAAGCCACAAAGCCTCACTGGTGCCTCTACGTTTGATATCCCTTCCATCTCCATGGCTCAGGCACATGAATCATCACAGCACAGAATCTTTAAGCTAATTGTTGCCCATATCCAGAAGCACAGAAATCTGCTTCTGCCCAGCCTCATCTGAAAGAATCTACTGGAAACATCCAGTGAATCTTAGAACTTTGTTGGTCCTTTTTTCTTGCACAAAATAAGGTGTATCTGACTGGCATCACTGATATACTCTTCTCCCTCTACCCACCCTGACAGTTAGAGACTTGTTTCTTAACCAGCCTCATGTCTACTGCTAAGCAGGCTAGGAGCAAAGGAAGGACTGCTGCAAGACTGAACGTTTCACTAGGGGAAAGGGATCCTCTAGGACCTGAGGGTTTGCATTATATTCTATTTGCCAGCCCTCCTGGTACTAGGTTGTCAAAGGAACTTGCTAATGAGGTACTTGGCTCAGTGAGACCAGTGCTGATACAGCATGGAGTTGTTAAGTAATTTAACGGAGAGGTAATTGCTTGAGTGATTGGAGTTCAGTGCTTACCTAGGCTTGAGAAAATTCAAATCTAAAGCCCCAGAAGTTTGCTGTAGCCATTAAGAAAGAGTTTGTAGCACTCTGCTGTCACAGGAAGGTGCATGCCTTTTCAGGGGAAAAAACAGCGAGGAGCAAATGAGCACAAAAGGGATTTGAACTGCTGGCGAGGGCACTGGGCATGTAGAACCAGGTTTCTCATCCCTGCTTAGATGCTAGTTTGTTCTTTCACTTCCCCCTCTCCTCTCCATTTTTTTTTTTTTTTGGCTGGTGATTTTCATATTTTTTTCTTCTGA